GCGCCGCACCTCCTCGCCACAGCAGCCAGGCCGCACCCCAGGCCGCACCCCCCCCCTCTCCCCTCGCCAGCGCAGCGCCGCCCTGCCCGCCCACGCCCCTCCCACCCCTCTGCCCGAACCAACCCCTCCCCTCCCCCGCCGAGGTTGCGATGCTCGGCGTCGCGGCGATGGCCTCCGTCGTCATCCAAGAAGGCGACGACGCGGCGCATGCCCCGAACGACAGAGTACTCGACAGCAGGACCACCAGCCCCAGCGACCGCGAGGACGACGGGTGAGCCGCGCCTATCTGGGCGCTGCTGCGGGTCGTGCCGCCTGAGGAGGCGCGCGCCGGGGTGAGGCGCGGAAGGGGCGCGCGATACATCGAGAGAGAACTTGCCGAGAGTGCGAAGAGGTTTGAGCGAGATATCAACGGCTCAACGCGTGTGTAGTCTTCTGTCGTGTACTCTAAAAAAGTATTCTTGAGGTTCACGTCGGAAGCCCTGATAAATGAAAAAAGTATAATTAGCAATATGTGAGGCTCTCTCTGTGTACTCGTCTGACTCTGTTCTCTGACACGTGACAGTCATGACTCATGAGAGCGGAGTTGAGAGCGCTGACGAGACGACAGGGACGTCACTCCACACTCGTCCGAGTGCGGAGTGGTCAGATACGACCCTATCATTGATAGCGCCTCTATCGACCTTCTCCTGTTCACGTGCCTCGTGTGTGAGTGAAAATTCTCACGATTATTTATACGGGGTGTGGACCCTGAGTTGACCAGGGGTTGTGCGCTGGGCCCTCCTGCTCGGCTCCAGCCAGTAGACAAGTCTTGTCATCAACAGAGTAGAAGGATCTGACCTCGGGGCCGATGTGACCAAGCGCTGGTAGCGTGGTTTAACCTCAAACCCATGGTCTCACAGTGTGCCGGCAGTCGCCGAGCAGTGTCGCTCACACAAGCCGCAGCACAAGTGACTGAGGGCCAGTGAGGGCGAGCCCATCGCTGTCACAGCTGTGGCAGCCGCACAATAGGCTGTGTCAACTGTGCAGAGTGTGTGAGCAGCAGAGGAGCTGCTCTCCAGGCTTCTGTCGCAAAGAGCTGCATGCCACCGAAAGCGCTGTCGAGGTTCGCCGAGCGCGGCGCAGGTTGAGGGACACCGCCACCGACGAGCCGCGCGTTGGACTTTTCACTCCGGACAAAGACGGGTACACGCACACGAGCCGCGGTCGTGTACCCGTCTTAGGGGCGAGGCGCGGGACCGTCTGTGGCGAAGTGGGTCGCGTCCCTCGATTTCCTCAACTCACGGTCCGCTCCCTCTATCTGCCGTGGACAGTCTCCCCCCATCCCCCCCATCCCCCCCTAAAAACAACCCCCGGCCCCGGAGCCCTCACTGCTGGCCCGGACCGCAAGTAGCGAATAGGCATGTGGGCGCCGACGCGGCAACACTCAACACAGAGCTCATCAGTGACCCGGCGCCCACGCCTCGACCTTCTTGGGCAGCAGCTGGTTCGACATGTCGTCTCCGTGGCCTAGGCAAGCGTATACGCCGGGGCCCTAGGTAAAGACGGCGTCGTCTGCTGAGACGACATGCCGATGCTGTGGTCGC